TTTTTTCAATTTCATTCCAATTATTTTTTGAAATTTTGTATTCTGTATTATTTAAAATTTCATTTTTAAAAAATTTTCCTGTAAAATAACAAAACACATGAGGAGCAATATTTTCAAAAAGTGCATGCATAATATTTACTAGAAATGATAAAGAAAAATTAATTGAAGATAATTCAAATAAAATACTATATCCATTTACGCCTTTTTTGTATTCTTTACTATCTAGAATATAACTATTATGAGAATGCATTGGTAAATTTTCTGGTTCATAATTATTATATTCTTGTAATGATTGAAGTTGATAATACATATATCTAGCAGTTTCGGAATAAGATCCTTTTATATAACAATAGTGGCAACCATATTTAGCATTATGACCTAAAAGACACATAAGTTTAGATAAAGCAGGAATATCTCCAGACCATGAAAGAATGTAGCAATACAATTTAAATGTTTCTTTTAATATTGCATCATAACAAGTTATACTATATTCAAGCTGCTTTAATTTATCAACTAATGGTTGTAAAAAACTATTAAAATTTTTAGAGATTTTGGACCAGGTATAACCATATTAATTATTAAACTTTCTTTTTTAACCCTTTTTGATGGTGGAAGATTTGTATTTAAAAGTAAAATTATCCAACAGTCATTTCATTTTTGTTTAAAAACTTGATAGCTATCCATAGATACAAATAAAGCAATATCTCTATAATCTAAAAATAAGCCTGATACTATTAAAGTTTTATATCTATTGCCATCAAAAACATCCCTAATTTTGCTATTCTCAGAAGTATATTCTTTTCTTGATGTATATTCATACCAATATCTAAGATCTTTTGCTCGTGATAGATTTTTATATTGTAATTTTAAGCTATCAGCTATTGAAAAATATGCTAATTGTTTTCTAGATTTTTTTGATTTTTTTTTAGTTGTATATCGTAACTCTTTACATATAGGACATGCATTAAGATTAGTATTTTTCCCAGTAAATGCACAGCAAAAATTCCAACAAATATCTATAAGTTTCGGTTCTAGTGAAACCAAATTTCCTAAAACTTTTCAAAGTCGATAAGAGAAACATTAGAAATATTAAATATTTCTAATATTTCATTAAATGCTTGATCAGAAATTGTATATTTATCTTTGATATAAAGAAGCTGAAGCTCTTTAATTATTTCACTTGGTAAATCTAAAATATAAAAATATTAATATAAAAATTTTTAAAAAAAAATTTTTATATAAAATATTAAAAATAATTACTATAAAATTCAGCATTATCAAAATTCTCTTCTGATTCAAAGCTTATTTTTTCACTATTTTCTGATTTACCCTCTTCCAATTCATCCTCTTTCTCCAATTCATCCTCTTTCAATTCATCCTCCAATTCATTCTCTTCCAATTCATTATTCTCCAATTCATCCTCCAATTTATTTTCTAATTCATTCTCTTCCAATTTATCCTCTTCCAATTCATCCTCCAATTCATTCTCTTCCAATTTATCATCCTCCAATTTATTCTCCAATTCATCCTCCTCCAATTTATCCTCCAATCCATCCTCCAATTCATCCTCCAATTCATTCTCTTCTAATTCATTTTCTAATTCATTCTCTTCCAATTCATCTTTCAATTCATTCTCTTCCAATTCATTCTCTTCCAATTCATCCTTCTCCAATTTCTCACTTTCTAAATCTAAAATATAAAAAATTAATTCAATTTAAAAAAATTAATTCAAAATAATAAAAAATTTTTTTAATTTTACTTTGTTCAATATTTTCCTCAATATCCTCCATACTTTCAATATTTATTTGATTATTCAAAATATTATTAGATATACTATTTGAAATTGGAAAAGAATTTTGAAGATTTTTTTCTTTCTTTCTATGCCTTGTTTGAGTAAATGTATTATTTGAACTTGGATAAGAATTTTGAAGATTTTTTTCTCGCTTCCTATGCCTTGTTCAAGTAGAGATACTTAACATTTTACCACAACTATTAGTTTCTTGTATGCAAAAAATACAAGTACATAAAACTTTATTATCCATAGCTAATTATTATAATATTTATAAATTAAAGATAAGTATTTGAAATATCAAAATTTTTTAAGTTAATTAATTTTACTACCAATTATTAAAAAAACTAACCTTTTTTTACTAATATTTTTTTTTTGCAAAAAACAAACTCGTATTTCGCCAAACTAATAGAAAAGCAACTACAAAATCAAGTTGCAAAAAAATTAAAAGAATCAATAGAATTATATAAGAAAAATTTGTAATAAAAACCTGTTATCGGACTTTTAATTATATTTTGTATAGTTAGCTATCTATCAAAAATCTATCATTATAATAGATTTTCGATAGACAGCTAACTATATACAAAATATAATTGAAAGTTTGATAAAAAATTTTCTTTAATAATGCTAATATTAGACTTACTATAATTGCTATTTAAATTTATATAATCATTTACTATTTAATATAATCAATATTTCAATTTTCAAAAACAATATATTACAATAAAAGAAATCTAGCAAAACAAGTACAAAAATTAATACAAAATTTTTAATATTCTTTAATATTTTTGATAAAAGCAGCCCATTCATCTTTTCTGATATTCTCTAACCATGTAATACTAACATTATCAATTATATCTAAAAGTACCTAATTATTATTGAGTGCTTCAAGTAATTGATGCAAGAGAGGCTCTGCAGTAATAAAAGTTGTAAGTTTTCTTGACGAAATATTTCCTACAAAGCCAGGAATATTTATGTTTAGCTCCGAATAACTTTCTAAGTCTTGATTCTTTTTTTTTTTTTTCTTACTTTAAAAGAATCACCATCAATAACATGTTTAATATTAAATAAATTATTTGATTGATTAATATTAAACATGTTATCACATCACTCTTTCCGACGATCACTTGGACCAAATTTTCTGACAAAAAAAAAAGCCTTTTTTGATACTGGAGAGTAGTAACCTATAGTGAGGTGAATTCAACAGGGCGGTTTTTATAAAGGTTAACATTTCTCTATTCTTGGGGACTCCTTTATATATTCGACATGCAAGCCAAAAGCGTCTGTATACAAGATAACTGGCAGAA